GTTCATCCTTAATTGATCAGAGCTAAGTTCATGAAGGATTGAAATAAAGTTCAAATATATATATATATATATATATATTATTTCAAGATCGTTCCAACTTATCGAAGGTGATCTTCGCTCTCTCTCACCTTCTAACTTTCTGTCCTGAAGTAACACGTACGATTTCATCTTCAAGTCTTTTTTTTCACTGCTCTTTGTACTGTCAAAGCGTCATATGGCAGAGTTGTATCTGTTCCAATTGATCGCTTTAGCTCTAAGTTGAAATAATGATCCCCTTCCTTTTGTGACCTCCTGATTCAGTTCCCCTCTCAACTGTTTCCCCTTCTTTAAACTTATTCACCGTTCTCTTGATGCTTCTTGAATGAACTTTGAAGATGAAAGCCAGAGTATGAAAGATAAGTATCATTACCGAAAGCCTGAATAAATTTATCCTCTCACCATTGCTCAGTTGAGCGGACACAAAACGAATTTAACCTGTTCTATTTCTAGCTTAATAACTCAAAGGGTTTTTTAGTGATTCTTACGATAAATGGTGCCAAGATGGCTAACCGTCATATATAAAAACCTAGAAAAAAAAACTCTGTTAGTCTAGTGTTTTTTTTAGATATTATGCATTTAGTGGGATGGACAATTACGCTGTTACACGGTTTAGACAATTTTGCTGTTACAAATGGTGCATATATATATATATATATATATATATATATATATATATATATATATATATATAATTATAGATAATTATAGACTCGACTCGTTTCGAAAAACCCTCGAATTTTTTATTTGCTAATAATCAAATCAATCTCGAGGGAAAAAAAAGTTTTAAAAAAAGAAAGAGCTACAAACATGAACTTCTGCCGACAAAAAAATCGCACAGATACAGGTCTGAAGCCCAAAGAAAAAAACCCGATACGAGGAAACAACTAACTAACAAAGCGTTCAATACAACCGTAGAGCCTTACTTTCGCTGACGATCCGTTTAGGTGAAACCTAGGTAGGTTTATCTGGCTCACTAGGTAGGTGTATCTATCTATCTATCTATCTATATATATATATATATATATATATATATATATATATATATATATATATATATATACATGCGTAATGTGAGAGCGTGATTGCGCGCGTGCGTTCTCAGGCGCATGCGCAGTAGTAATATATATGTTCTTTTGTCAGTTTAAAACCTGGAAAAGATCGTGTACTAAATGACTCTATCGTCTTGAAACTTGAAAATGTCTGCGACTTGTCTCTCCTTTTTTTTTTTTTTTTTTTTTACTTTACCCACTTTTGGAACGAGTGTTGCGGCATAACAAGGAAGAAGGTGTTGGTTGGGGTCCAGGTTCGATCCGGTCAAGCTGTCTAAGCTCATCCCCCTCATAGACATCTTGCGAAATAGGGAGCAAGGTTACATCCGGCACAGCCCAGCCTTCTCCACATCCTGCATGAACGCAAATTTTATTTGTCGGGTAAAGGGAAGCCCAGAGTTAAGGGCTTAGGGCTCAAGAACGGATGATAAAGAAAAGCATTTCCTTGTTCCCTATACCGTGCCACGCCTATCTGAAAGATTCACAGACGAAAAAAAATAGACATATGAACAACACAGACGGTGGGGTCATTAAGAAGTATTTGGCTATGCCCTCACTGCTCTCTGAACTCTTTTTTTTTTGTTTTTTTTCGTAAGCGAACGAAGGTCAGGTCTTGTTCTGTTAATTTTTTTTTTTCTCTGTTTGGTAAATATTAGAACTTAAAACGTATTTATAAATTAGGAAAAGTAAGGAAATCAGAAGTCGTATTGGGATAGCCAAAGATTCCTTCCAAAAGCTAAGCGGAACATTAAAAGATAGAATAACAAGAAACAAGGAAAAGGCCAGGATCTGGCAATCTCCTCAAAGATGAAGAAGACACTGGAAGCAACCAAAATGTGGTTCTACAGAATCATGCTGAGGATACCGTGGACCGAACATGGGAAGGAAGACAGAAAATGAAAACGAAAGCTTAACATCTAGAAAAGGCAGTTAAAAAGAAGAAAGGGCTTAGAAAATTTGATACTCAGAGGAATTGGACATAGTTTAAATGGATGCAAATAACAGTAAAAACAAATTTATAACATCCAGGTAAACGATAAAAATAATTGATCAAAGGTTTTGCGAAACCTCTTAATTTCTGGCGTTCCCAGGTTCACACTGACCCGGGGTGATAACCTGCCAGGAAGTTAATCAAAGGGATCAAAACGCAATGAAAAGTAAAAGAGGAAGAAAAAAAGCAATACATTATTGTCAGGAAGATATTTTTGAAAAAAAATATTACCAACAATAAAAAATTAATCATTGAGATATGCCGTAAAACAAACCAAACCAAACCAATATATACCGAGATAGATAGATAGATGAATAGATAGATAGATGATAGATAGATAGATAGACATAACCAAGATAGAGAGAGAGAAAATATTACCACCCATTGTGGTTGATATGTCGTAAAACAGAACCAAACCAAACCGAACCAAACCAAACCAAACCAAACCAAACCAAACCAAACCAAAAATTTTCCTAAATTTTTAATTACAATTTTCATAGTTTAATGCCTTACAGAAATGATTTTCCTAACCTAAATAACAAATTTCCTATTTTTAATTTTTCAGATTTTCCTAAATAACGTGTTTTTCAGTTCCTATTAATGTTAACTCAAAGTACAAAGTTTGAAGTGCCTGCATGTAAAATATTTCAAATATAGATTTATATTTAATATTTTTTTTTTATATTTTCAAAATTGGGTATGATATACCCATGGTTAGTAGTGGTGTAACTTTAATTGATGGTTAGTGTTCAGGGTTAAAAATAATAAAGCAAAAAGTTCACAGTGTAAAGGCGTTAGTTAGATCCAGGACCCAAAGCGTGTGGGTTCAATACCCAGTTAAGGCAGTGGAGAACTTGGAGAGGGTAATTAACAGGAGATAACTGATAACTGACATCGATTAAACATGGCACTTAGAACTAGAACAGTCTACCCCAGTGAGCGAAATAAAGGGTTCAGTTCGACATTCCAACAACTGAAGAAGGCCGAAGCGTACAACGGCCGAAACGTTGTGATAAATATGGCAACAAAGATGAGGACAATAGTCCGAATAATGTAAATAATGTACATAATACCTCATCTCAGAAATATAGACAGATACTGAAAGGCCGAAACGTTGTAATAAATATGGCGACAAAGATGAGGGCAATAGTCCGAATAATGTAAATAATGTACATAATACCTCATCTCAGAAATATAGACAGATACTTTAAAAATTGTGTTAACACAAAAAAGCGATACATAAAATCACTCGCAGTGTTCTGACTTCAAGACAACAAAGAAGAGAAATATGGTGGATGAGTTTCTAGAAGTGGCCTATCTTATTGGTTAGGAAGAAATCCCAGCATGCATCTGTATGTTTTGACTATAAATTTTGGGATTGGGGATGTTTTTTGCGGCCATTCCTACCAAGATAGGAACTAACAGTCTTCCAAAAGGTAAGCAAAATATTAAGAAACAGGAAAATATCGAAATATCGAAATGTCTATTGTGTAATATCGGTCCTCTTACATGTCAGTGAATGCTGGACAACTCACTCACAGATAAAGAAGAAACTTGAGGCATCAGAGACAGGAACTACAGAAGCATGATGAGCATATCATTGACCAAATATGTGAGCAACAACGAAATACCGAGGAGATGGAAACAAAAAATGAACATTCATACTACTTTTTTTTTAAATCTGTATCACCCCAAATAAGGTAATGAAGCTACTAAGACACAAGAGGTTACAGGGTGTGCAAGAATTGGGAACAGAAACATTAATAATGAGCGGGGAGGGTAAAAGTAATCACGAGGACAGTAGATAGCGGTTGACATTGTATTTAAATTTCTTTATGTTGGCTGCCAACTCGAGTCGGAGTACGGCCATTACTACATAACTTTTTGGAGAATATCCACTGATGTGGTAAATGAAGGCGGCTTTTTAGCCCAGTAAGGAACCTACATACTCTGGCACAAACAGGGCACTTAAGAGATCCAACAGCGGGTAGTGCATTATCATGCAATTTAAAATGTCGCACAAAACCGCTTCTGGGCCCGCATATCTTACCACAAATATTACATTTTAATTTCTGGGCGTCTACTTTTTTATAGTCAACTGCCACCTTCCGTCGGTGCGCATATATATATATATATATATATATATATATATATATATATATATATGTGTGTGTGTGTGTGTGTGTGTGTGTGTGTATGCAAAGGATTTAGAAACAGTTGGCTGACATATCTAGTCAACATCATGGTGTTTGAAATTATCAATAGTGACGGCAAAGTTGTACCTCCTTCCTTCTTTTCCACAATTATTAACGACGAGTGAGGACGACACAAATTGACGACAGTCGTGTATTGATTGTGTAAGTATATATTTCCTTTTATAATTTCATCACAGGCAAGGCGATAATGCCACTAAGACACAGTTAGTTACTGGGGATGAAAGAGAATGAGAAGACTTTAGTGATGAGAAAAGGCAATAAAAGAACAGATTTCACGAAGATAGAAGATGGCGATTGGCATTGCATTTAAATTTTTGAATATTGTAGGCGGCACGAAACAAGAATCCAGAAGAAAGTTCCACATGCGGGAAGTGCGAGAAACTATTAGAACATATACTCTAAAAAGATTATATTGGTTGGAAATACGGTAGAAAATGGAAAGAAAATTATCAGAAGGAGACAGTTGAAATTTCTAGAGCACATAATGAAAAACGAGAACTTGGAGAATTTGATACTCACAAGACAGATTGAAGTCAAGATGGACAACGGAATAAACAACGCATATCCTACCTAGCCAGCTCGTGTAAATGGATGTCAGAATTGCATTGAAGAGAGATAGAAAAAAGGCAAAATTTATTAAAATCTACAAAGGACAGGAAATCATGGAGAGCCATGATCGCAAACATCCTACTGACTGTCATTTCACGTTAAAACACCGGTTCCCGTATGATGGTCAAAGTTAAGCAACGTCGAGCCTGGTCAGTACCTTGATGACTGACCGCTTGGGAATACCAGGTGCTGTAAGTATGGATGTGCGAGTGGTGTAATGTATAACGTCTCGGAATGAGAAGTCTGAGGGCTGAGTTCGAATACCAGTTGGGTTCATTACATGCACTTACGCGCAAATACCCTTGGGAAAGGTATGAATTCACCTTTTCTCCCCAGTTTATGGGTTAAATAGTAAGGCTAGTATCTGAACATTATTATTATCTAAAAAACGGTTAATATAATATTCAGTAGCAAAAAGAAAATTTCTTACAAACCTCAAAATATACTTTAACCTACAAAAACTTAATAATCCGTAAAAAAAAACTTAATAATCCGTAAAAAAACTTAATAATCCGTAAAAAAAAACTTAATAATCCGTAAAAAAAAACTTAATAATCCGTAAAAAAACTTAATAATCCGTAAAAAAAAACTTAATAATCCGTAAAAAAAAACTTAATAATCCGTAAAAAAAAACTTAATAATCCGTAAAAAAAAAATCAAAAGCTGAAGTAATGAAGGAACACGGCACATAGAAGAATTTTGTTTATGTCTCTGTCTTACTTGAGACATAAAGTAAAATAAAAGGCATCCATTACAAATGGGTGTGGCTCCGATGTGATGGAAGAATAGATATGAGAAGAGTTCTACCTGGAACGAACGCAGGGGTCTAAGCCTCCCCTATTTCTTGGCCGAGTTTGAAAAAAAAAATAGGGAGACCGAAAGAATTAAAAATAGATAGATAGATAGATAGATAGATAGATAGATATGAACAGACTGGGATAGATAGATAGATAGATAGATAGATAGATAGATAGATAGATAGATAGATAGATATGAACAGACTGGAATAGATAGATAGATAGATAGATAGATAGATAGATAGATAGATATGAACAGACTGGAATAGATAGATAGATAGATAGATAGATAGATAGATAGATAGATAGATAGATAGATAGATATGAACAGACTGGAATAGATAGATAGATAGATAGATAGATAGATAGATAGATAGATAGATAGATAGATATGAACAGACTGGAATAGATAGATAGATAGATAGATAGATAGATAGATAGATAGATAGATAGATAGATATGAACACAGACTGGAATAGGTAGATAGATAGATAGATAGATAGATAGATAGATAGATAGATAGATAGATATGAACACAGACTGGGATAGATAGATAGATAGATAGATAGATAGATAGATATGAACAGACTGAAGCAGACAGATCTGAACTAAGAGAGAGAGAGAGAGAGAGAGAGAGAGAGAAAGGGGAGATGAATTGTCTGAGTTCCATAGATAAATAGATAGACAGACATGAACAGATTGAAGCAGACATATCTAAACTGAGAGAAAGAGAGACAGACACACACACAAGAGAGAGAGAGAGAGAGAGAGAGAGAGAGCGATAGAAGGAATACATGAATTATCTGAATTACATAGATAGATATGTAAATGTAAGCAGTCAAATGTACTGTATGGAAAGACCATGATATAAGATATAAATTAACCTTCCGAATGTATTTTCGATTGGTTCAAGAGCTGCCTTTTTCCACTGAATATTAATCTCATCGGAACAAAGATACCAAGACAAGTATTAGTTTACCCTCAATAACCCTTCCAACAACAAATTAACAAAAAAAGACACCATTTTGGATGTCTAACGTACTGTAACATTCAACCCAGCTTCCAATGACAACATCGTCTGGTTTGTGTTAATGCCAGTGTCATAAATTCTAGCCTCCTCTTTTTAACGCCTATCAGTCTATGAAGCTGACTGGCTCAGTCTACTTATATCATTCTTAGCCTTGTCATATATATTTCAATATGTTCTTATCTATCTCCGACTCTTTATAGACAGATCTGTTCATATCTACGTATTTCTGTCGGATTGTAACTACCCACCTATCTATTTGTCTATATCCGTCTCCTGGGTGTTCGTTACGTATGTAAATATTTATACATGATGGGGTCTGTGTCTGGCGTGTTAGAACGTTCGCTATACGTCTAAGTGACCCGGGTTCGAATCTGTCGAATGTGAATTCCTGATGTTATCGATTTGGGGCGGCGATTTCAGCGTGGAGAATACATGAAAACCTGACCACCAGTTGACGCAAACCTTGTGAGTTAAACTGGGTAAAATGAACTGACCGGTAGCCAGTGATGACTATATTAGCACGAACTCATCGTGGCTGAGGGTTAGAGAGTACAGGTCTTTCAAACTATTGATCATTATTCGATCTATCTCAGAAACCGTAACTAAAATCGGTGTAGGTAATTCAGTTCGCCCGTCGTTTCGTCCACTCCTCCGGTTTACCAACTGATCTGTCGCTAGGGACCTCTTATTCTCTCAGTCACGCCGTCACGCCAACAATGCATCTCTCTCGTCTTCCTCCCAGACTCGCTATTTATGCCCGCGTCGGGGGCAACTACAATTTGCATACGAGACTTCTCATTTGCTCGAGACTTCCGGTTTTATAAATTCAAGCTGGTTTGAATTCTTAGTCTTTTTTATTATTATTAAATTTTTCCCCCTGCACGTCCGCCTGCGATCTTTCAACAGGACCTGACACGCCAAGAAAATTTGCATTACGGGAGGTAAGTCTTCTCGTTCCTCACAATCTGCTCAGAATAATTGCAGTATCAACCACTGGTGGGCTGTGTTGGTTTTACAATAATTACAAATATGCCAGAGAAGGCGTCTTCAACAGGGACTTGATAAACACCCTAGCAGACGAGTGTGCTCGGAAACGAGTGGTCGGGCATTATGTATGCATATCAGATCACTCTGTAACCCAGTCACATTGTCGGTTTATTGGCGACTAAACCACTTCCGCCACCAGGCTTTTCTGGCGAAGACAGTGGCTAGACCTCCGAAAAGGATTAAAATTAAAACAGTTGGATGAACCCCTTCGAGGAATTAATGGCGTTCTAGCACAAATACCGGAAGTAGAAATACCTGGGCTATTATCAAAGAATGCATAAACACTGAGAATATTTGAACTCTTTGCTTTCTTTAACCCTTTGCTCCCTGTGTTCCTGAACAATTTTAAACCTTCTACCTGAGCTCCTGAGTCAAAATTCGTAAATAACTGTTATGTAATATTTTACGGTAGATATAAAAATATTTACAAGTGTTTATCCATCGGTGGCTGGGTATTTCGTCTTTTTTTACTACCACTGTTCAACCGGTGGCTGGGCATTAAGTCATTTTTCTCTACAACCGGTAAAGCGGTGGTCAGGACTCAAAGAGTTAAGGCATCCATCTAGAAAGAAAACGCATATGTCAAACGTGCGGCTTTGACAGTATCCAAAGATGTTAATTGGTTAACTTTTTGGCTACATGCCCTTCTGACTTAGAGAGCAGAGTTGACTCAGTACAACGTATTTATCATGAACATGTATTGCATGCTATAGTAAATTAATATCATGTGGTGTTCATACGAGTTGGCAACCATTATGCTTGTATTTATATATACTTAATGCCATGCAAAACATCGTATAACCGCAGGATATCATAATCAATTTTGATGGTGCCCATCAGTCTTAGTCCATACAGCTAGTGACTATCTTGATCTTGGTGTTCCTCACCAAAGATATCGTAATCAATTTTGATGGTATCATCCAGTCTTAGTCCATTCAGCTAGTGACTACCTTGATCTTGGTGTTTCTAACACAGGATATCATAATCAATTTTGATGATGTCATTCAGTCTTAGTCCATTCAGCTAGTGACTACCTTGATCTTGGTGTTTCAGACACAAGATATCATAATCAATTATGATGATGTCATTCAGTCTTAGTCCATTCAGCTAGTGACTACTTTGATCTTGGTGTTTCTAACACAAGATATCATAATCAATTTTGATGATGTCATTCAGTCTTAGTCCATTCAGCTAGTGACTACCTTGATCTTGGTGTTTCTAACACAGGATATCAGAATCAATTTTGATGATTTCATTCAGTCTTAGTCCATTCAGCTAGTGACAACCTTGATCTTGGTGTTTCTAACACAAGATATCATAATCAATTTTGATGATGTCATCCAGTCTTAGTCTATTCAGCTAGTGACTACCTTGATCTTGGTGTTTCTAACACAGGATATCTGAATCAATTTTGATGATGTCATTCAGTCTTAGTCCATTCAGCTAGTGACTACCTTGATCTTGGTGTTTCTAACACAAGATATCATAATCAATTTTGATGATGTCATCCAGTCTTAGTCTATTCAGCTAGTGACTACCTTGATCTTGGTGTTTCTAACACAAGATATCATAATCAATTTTGATGATGTCATCCAGTCTTAGTCCATTCAGCTAGTGACTACCTTGATCTTGGTGTTTCTAACACAAGATATCATAATCAATTATGATGATGTCATTCAGTCTTAGTCCATTCAGCTAGTGACTACCTTGATCTTGGTGTTTCTAACACAAGATATCATAATCAATTTTGATGATGTCATTCAGTCTTAGTCCATTCAGCTAGTGACTACCTTGATCTTGGTGTTTCAGACACAAGATATCATAATCAATTATGATGATGTCATTCAGTCTTAGTCCATTCAGCTAGTGACTACCTTGATCTTGGTGTTTCTCACACAAGATATCATAATCAATTTTGATGATGTCATCCAGTCTTAGTCGATTCAGCTAGTGACTACCTTGATCTTAGTGTTCTAGAATTTAAATTCACAAGTTAGTACACAGTAGAGCCGTAGGCCATGCAGATCCAGTGAACTCAATCAAGGATACAGGGTTTATCTATTATACAGGGTGTCCATAAAGTTCGTGTGCACTTTTAAAAAATTATAACTTTATTTGTATTTGCGATAGAAATAATCTGTAAAAAATGTTATAAAGTTTAATGTACCTAGTTTTAAGTATAGCTAAAATAACTAATGTGATTTCAGGCATTACTGTAGATCAGTTGGCAAATGTTTTCTGTGAAATGCAAAATCGTATTACCCTTTGTATTGCTAATGATGGAGGAGATGTAGAAACTTAAATAAAATTTCAATAAAACC